AAAAAAAAAAAAAAAAAACAGAAGCAGGCTCAGTCCTGGACTGTCTGAACAGTAGATAAAAATAGTGAAGAGCTAAGGAAGTTCCAATTTAGGAAAAATACCTTCACTGGCCTTGCTATTCTAAAAAATGCCTTGTTACTTTCTTTTGATTTGACGAGGAAGGACTCCCATCACAGTGCAGGAGTGAGAGCAGGGGAGCCCCAGGGAGAGCACAGTCAGCCATATTTCCCAGACTGCACCAGCCGGACTTGACACAATCCTGCGGGGAGAGGGGAATTAGTGGTTATAATGAAATAGCTGCAGGGTTGCTGCATATATAAATGTTAAAATAAAAACAGCCCAAGGGGAAATTATATGTTAGCTATCACCTTCTCCTTTTGAGTCAGCATCTGGAGCGTTTATGGACAACATTCCTAGTCACGATGTAGACCACTTTTCTTCTCAGGAGGAAATCTTGCAAAAATCACTATCTGTCCTAACAGGGCAGGAAAAATGCACCCAGGTTTTTAAAAACGTAGACATACTCTGATCCCATTTCCCGTGTGAGGCAGCATTACACCTTTCATCTTCCAGCCTTAATGATGGCAATGGGATGTGGATGTGGAATCAAATGCTCTTTGCTGATTAAATTATGTGGTTAAAGTGAAGCATTGGGGAGGCAGAAAACATGAGTTCAATCCCTATAACGGGGCCACTGGATTTTGTTCTGTTGCATTCGGGCCACAAAGGGCACAATTGGAGGTACTGTCGTCGGATATACGAGAATATCAAGACACAGCTTCATGATGAATGGACTTTACTTCCAAAAAGAGGCAGACCTAAACAAATTGCTCAAAAAGAGATGAAAATACACTATACAGATGAGGGACAGCAAACCCAGCCCACCAAACCCAATTGCTAGAAAGAAAATAACTCACACTCCCTTGTCCTGAGGATGGGTCACTGGTTGTAGCTTTTCTGCGAAAAGCAGATCCAGGACATGGTCAGTGGATGTGGTTAGTACCCTTCTCATGGCGGTCACCTTTTTTTTTTTTTCTCCCCCTTAATTCTTGATGAAGACCCCCGCTGGATGAGGCTCTGCAATGGCGTGACTCCCTGGACAAGATCCTGCAGAACAACTGTAAGTTGGAATTGTCTTTTATCAAAGGTCAGGGGAGGGAACAGAGGCAAAAATCGCCTTTGTGTTGCTGGTGTCCTTCTCCAATTTTGACACTTCTTCAATTTTTCGTTTTTTCTTTTATTTATTTATTTTGTTTATTCTTGAGAGAGAGAGAGAGAGAGAAAGACAGAGCACAAGCTGGGGAAGGGCAGAGACAGAGGGAGAGAAAGAATCCGAAGCAGGCTCCGGGCTCTGAGCTGTCAGCACGGAGCCCGATGTGGGGCTGGAACCCAGGTACTGAGAGATCATGACCTGAGCCAATGTCAGATGCCTAACCAACAGAGCCACCCAGGTGCCCGCTTCAATTTTTCCATGTGGACTCAACAAGGGAAGGATGCCCAAGGAGTGTGGTTACCCAGATCACAAGAAGACAAAGTTCTACTGTACTGTGAGAGAATGTGAAAAGAAAGTGGCTTGAGGACTCATGATCGCAGATTATTTTCCCATCTATCCTACTTATTCTTATGAGCCAGAGCAAGTGGCTTGACCTGTGTGTTTCTCAATATTTTTTTAAAGTTTTTTAAACGTTTATTTATTTTTGAGAGACACAGACAGAGCACGAGTGGGGGGAGGGGCAGAGAGAGAGGGAGACACAGAATCGGAAGCAGGCTCCAGGCTCCGAGCTGTCAGCACAGCCCGACACGGGACTCAAACCCACGAACCATGAGATCATGACCTGAGCCAAAGTTGGACCCTTAACCGACGGAGCCGCCCAGGTGCCCCTCAATATTTTCATCAGTAAAAGAGAGACACTGCCCTTTCCATCTTAGCCTCATCATGGCTTGGTAAGGACTGGTTACAACAGCATGAAGAACAGTGGATTAGGAACCAAGATCGGGTAGGTACGTCCTAGTCCAAGCTGCTATTGATGGCTCTGGTGGCCTGACATGTGTTGTTATCTCCCACAGCCTTAGTTTCCTCTTCTGGTGCTTGCCTTCCTTCAAGACACGACAGAAGTGCCAGCAAGAACCCGTTCCCACGCTAATACCAACAGAGCACTGCTTGCCTCTCCCCTAATCCAAATCCTTACTGATCCTCAAGGCCTGCGGTATCGAGGTTAAGGTTCCCCATGATAACAAGATGGCTGGTCTGCAGTCAAACTGAGGTCTTCTTCCTCCCCCTTATGGGATTTCTACATGTAATCCCTGTGGCCGGAATACTTTGTATTCCCATCTCTGTTGAAATACTTCCTCTCCTATGAAAGCAGATCTGAATGCTGACTGCCTAGTCTTCCTTGGCCATCCAGAATGATTTATCCTCCCTCTGAGCTTCCAGAGAACCTGTCTGCACATCTTTTCTGCTGCTTGATACTACCTACTGAGTACTTCTTCACTGCTGTCTCCCTCCGATGATAGATTATAAACTCAGGGACAGCCAAGGCTTAGCCTTTTGATCTGAACAACTTCCCAATAAGTGCACGATATGGGGAGAATAAGTATTTATGGAATAGTTCATTTTAAGAATATGATTCAATTTAACGTATCCAACGTGTATTTCTTCATCTTTGCCCCAAGAATGGCATATGAAACTGTTGGATGCTTTGCAAAAATAAGAATTTAAAAAATGCTTCTTGCAGGTGCATCATTATTAATAAGCACAGCATAGATAACAAAGAACATATGTTGAATCGTGTATGAAAAATTTTTTATGGCTCAGTTGGCTAAGCTTCTGACTCTTCGTTTTGGCTCAGGTCACGCTCTCACGTTTCATGGATTCGAGCCCCGCGTGGGGCTCTGCACTGACAGTGGGGTCCTGCTGGGGATTCCCTCTCTCCTTCTCCCTCTGCCCCTTCCCCACTCGCACATGCGCACGCTCTCTCTCTCTCTCTCTCAAAGTAAATAAATAAACCTAAAAAAAATTATGTCTTGTTTTGAGTAGGGCAAGCTTCTGCTTACCTGATGTAGAATCATTACCTCTTTGTAACTTTCTTAATCTTATCCACTTTGATTCTCTTTTTATCTCTTCGGCTAAACAGAAAACCATGCCCTGACACATATAAAGTGTTCAGTAAATGTTTGTTAACCTAACGGGTGAATGAGTTCATTCATTTTGCTTCTTGGATCCAGAAATTCCACGAGGTTGATTAAGAGAAAAATATTTATGTTTCTCAATTGACTTATTTATTGTCTTACACAATGGTTTTGGGGCCAATTGCAACCAGACAGATGGTATATTGCTACATTAAGAATACTAAGTACCCTGGGTCCAGGTATTTATTGCTAATGTCAAGAAACCTGAGAATTAGCAGACCTATTTTCATGTTTACAAAACCATGAAGGAGAAGGATATATATTTGTGTGCCCATATCCAATCCTTTTCAGTCCCGCTAATCCTTAGGGGCACGTGTTCATATATTTCAGGCTGTTAGGGACGGGGAGCTATTTGGTATAAGAAAGATAGGGGCAGAAGTTAAATCAGAGGCAATTAGTGTTAACACCTTAGCATTTGTTGAGGGTCTGAAGCCTTTCAGCTTGAGGCCTGAGACTCACAGTAATATTTGCTACTTCTCAGTGGAGAAAATATACATTCACGTCAGTGTTGTGTAAATATGTATATATAATATTCACATTTCATTTAATTATATACGTTTCAAAATTACATATGCATATAGATGTGTTACACAGTATGTATCTGTGTATATGTGTGTGTACCTATAATCTTAAGTTCTACGTAATTATCCTCCTAAGTAATTAACGTTTTTCTTTAAATGTGTTTTGTCACTTCTGTTTTTTCGTTTTTTTAATGTGTGTGTAAGAGAGAGAGAGCAAGCGAGCAGGGGAGGGGGGCAGAGGGAGAGAGAGAAAGAAGCTTGAGCAGGCTCTATACTTAGTGCAGAGCCCATCTCGGGGCTCGATCCCACAACCCTGAGATCATGACCAGAGCCGAAACCAAGAGTCGGAGGCTCAACCAACTGAGCCACCCAGGCGCCCCAGGAATTAACATTTGAAGACTGGGGAAATTAATTTCCCCTAGTGATAAATGGAAAAGCACTTGATAACCATTCAGGTCAAAATTCTTCCTTTGAAAGGGTCTTTCTTTATATTCAAAGAAGCTCAGGTGAAAGAGAGGTTCTGGTATGAATATAGAGATCTTGCAGAAAGAGTGGAGACCCATGCCCTAAAGGGAGGGGGGTGCCATTAGTAAATAAGACTGCCTCTCTCTCGAAGTTTATTCCTCTGCCCTTACTCTCCGTGTCTCTCTCTTCCTCTTTATTTTTCCATTCCACCCTCTCCCCCGGCTTCTCTCTATGGCTCCCCTTTTTGCTCTGTGTGTCCCTCTTGCCATGTTGTCTCTGCCCTCCACTTCTCGCTGTCTCATTCTCCCCAGAGAAGGACTAACAGAACACCAGGCACCAGAAACCTGAAGAGACATTTGACCTATTCTCCCGAACACCCGCTGTTGTGCCTCGTGAATAACTTTAAGCCAAACTTCAGCAACTCAGCTCTCAGGAAATGTTATTTGAATCTGCTAAAACTCATGGTCTGGGATCAGAAATAGCTAACATTAGCTGTGAATGATGCAAAATAGGTAACCAAGAAAGATACGTTTGAGAAATCTATGCGTTTGAAACGCCACAATCTCTGCTTGCATGTTTGATTGGATAAACTAAACCATTTCACCTTGAGGAGTGGCATCTTCGTTGATTTACAGAGAACATTTGGCATTCTGTTCTGCTCATGCAGGAGGTTGCCTCACAATTGATATAGTTCCCCAGTATTCCTTAAATCCACATTTTTCTTGAGCGGAAATGAAGTCAATTGGTACCTAACCTCTTAAAAATTAGACAATTAAGGTGCTATTCAATCTTTCCCAACTAACAAGCTTTCTCTTGCTTTTCCTCATTTAAGAAATCATTTTTAAGCCTCCAGTGTATTTAACTCTGTTTTGACAGTACGTCAATTTCTTACCTGTTTTGTGTTCAACTCTGCAGGTGATGACACCTGTATTCATTAGGTCTGTGGGACAAATGACCAGTGTGCTGCTCATTAAACACAAACACGGATTGCACGCGGAAGTCTAAATAAAACAGTGACATTAGGGGCACCTGGGTGGCTCAGTCCGTTAAGCGTCTGATTCTTGGTTTCAGCTCAGGTCGTGATCTCACGGTTCATGCGTTCGAGCTCTGCATCGGGCTCCATGCTGACAGTGCAGAGCCTGCTTGGGATTCTCTCTCTCTCTCTCTCTCTCTCTCTGTCCCTCCTCTGCTCACTCTTTTATCTCTCGCTCTCTCTGAAAATAAATAAACTTAAAATGAAATAAAAAAAAAAAGACCGTGACATTAAATTCCTCCACCTGACTGTCTTTAAGAGCCAAGGAAGGGGGCGCCTGGGTGGCTCAGTTGGTTAAGCCTTGACTTCAGCTCAGGTCATGATCTCGTGGCTCGTGAATTCGAGCCCTGTGTTCTGTGCTGACAGCTCAGAGCCCGGACCCTGCTTTGGATTCTGTGTCTCCCTCTCTCTCTCTGCCCCTCTCATACTCTGTCTCTCTCTCTCTCTCAAAAATAAAAAACACACATTAAAAAAAATTCTTTTAAAAAAGAGCCAAGGAAGAATGAAACACAATCCAGTAGCAGCGGGAAAGTTTATATGCGAATTCTTTTTTTCCCAGGAGCTCCAAAAGGTCAGAGCATTTCCTGAGACACCCTTGAGATTTGGACTTGTCCGTGGGGAATGGAACAGCCCAGATCTAGCCTTCTCTCTCTCTCTGTGTCTCTTTTCCCTATCTTTGCCTTCTCCTCCTGCTTCTCTCTCTTTGGTTTCCAATATTCTCCTTCCTTTTTTGTCTGGCTCATCTATGCCCTCCTCTGACTCACTGGCAGCCACAAATTCCTTCAAAGCAATAATAATAATAGTATCAGCAATAGGTTACTTGTACTGTTTGTTCACGTGTCGGGCGTTGCCCAATGTGCTTTGCATGTAGTGCTTTATTTAAGGAGCGTAATAATTTTAGGGCTTCGATACGATAACAATTTCTACTTTTCAGAAAAGGAAAGTGAGGTTAGGTAATGTGCTCATGAAATAAAACACTACCGTGGTAGATTTATTTTTCTTTTAGCTCTCTGTCCTTCGGCTCTGCGATGTGGGAGGAATGGCGTCCCTTAGTGGGTCTTATTTGGCTCAGCGTCTGTCTATTCGATGTGAGGCACAGATGTGAGGTGGGCGGGAAGGAGAGGCGAAGGTACATGAAACTCAGACCTTGAACGCGAAGCCTGAACGGCCTCCTGGAGAAGACAGGCATGTCAGGGAACAGCAGCAACAAAAGGATAAAGAAAGCTCTTCTCCCATCACCATCCAAAAATCTTCAAGAGCAAGGAGAAGGCAGTGTACCTCCCGTCTGAGGCAACCTGGGAGCTGGCTTTTGAATGATGGCAAACACTGATTTTAAATTAGGCATGAATACAAATGATGAAAGACAGTACTTCCTGAGCTCTCATTATGTTCGACACCAGGTAAGAGCTTGACGTGAATTGCTGAGTCCTTACAACAACCTTATCACGTGGGTTCACGTGGGTTCCATGATTATATCCGTGTAACAGAGGAGGCAGTTGAGGCTCAGAGAAGGTGGGTCACTTGCCCCAGTTACCGAATAGTGACATTTCTGAGTGGTGATGTGGTGAAACAGGACCCACCCGAGGGTACCTTGACTCCAGAGCCCGTGCTCGGAACCGGCAAGCTATGTAATGATACCTGTCACCTATCCACTCATGACATTCCACCATTTTTCCTCTAGGAGGGGAGATTTATTCTAATCTCCCCCCTTTAATATTTTTTTAATATTTATTTATTTTTGAGAGACAGAGAGACAGAGCATGAGTGGGGGAGAGGCAGAGAGAGAGGGAGACACAGAATCCAAAGCAGGCTCCAGGCTCCGAGCGGTCAGCACAGAGCCCGACGTGGGGCTCAAACCCCTAAACCGTAAGACCCTGACCTGAGCTGAAGTCGGACGCTTAACCGACTGAGCCACCCAGGCGCCCCTCGCCCTTAATAGTTTTCCTTTATATACCCAACTGACTTGGATTTGTCTCACACTGCTTTTATTTTCCAAGTGGTTTTAGAGCTGGCTTCATTTCGTCCTTTGGTAGGGCTGCTACGTTCTTTTGCTTAGATGTCAAAAGTGACACCATTCCTTAGGGCCAGCTCTGGGGCCGTAATGTGGGTCAAAACCCAGACTGTTCCCACAAGACCGGCGAGCAGGAGCTTTCCTCTGCTTCCTAGTAGGGGATGCCCGAAGAGGTGTGTTGAGAAGTATCCTGGGGTTCTGTGCAGGCTCAGCAGGGGAGGACGCAGGGATTTCTCAGGGATGTGTGCTGAGGGCCCCGTGCGGTGGGTGTGGAGTGCGAGGGCAGTGGTGTGGGCCAGAGATGATGTGTGCGTTACTTGAAGACTAGACAAGTTTCTCCTGGAGTCTCTTTGGCTCTGACCCAAGAGGACTTCCTCAGGGCTGATGGGAATTGAACAGAGAGTCAAGGAATGGCCCACTGGAAAACCAGAGGCGAAGGAGGAGAAGGTATCTGGGGAATGATTTGAAGGTCCTACTAAGGGGCCATCCAGAGAATTCTCAAAAGCCAGGTGAGAGAAAGAATAGCTTTAAGCATCTCCCCGGACAATAGAGTGAGTTTAAAGCCGGTTATGAGTCTCTGATCAAAGTGTGTGCATCGATAAAAAGCCCTGAAATAGTGTTGTAGAATTCAGTGAGAGTGATAAAACCAGTGCCCAGGAAATGGACTGACTTCACTGGAAAGTTATTTTCCAAGCTCAGCCCCCGGATGCCTGGAAAATGTTAATATTGTTCTGGAGTCCTGGCGTGCGTCCTCAGGTCATAAATACCAATGCTTGGGAGGACTGGGATTTTATCTGTATCTTTTATAAAGACTTGGAATGGGTGATTCAGAGAGACAGATAGGTTGTGGGGACAGGGGCCTGATGAGAATACAATGGCCACAGACTTAATTCTGTGAAGTTATAGTTTCCTCCAAAGTCTTGCATGGGTGTTCATAAGACTTCACTCCTGCTATCATTTCCCGGCCCCTAGAAAGTCCTGGGCGTTTTTCCATTTCAACAGGGGCTACCTGACACATTTTGTTTAAGAAACAGTGAAAACTTTAACTATGACAGAGAGAGAGCTCTAGGCTTTATTTCTTCTTTCAGCATATATGGTGACTCCTGTGTCACTAAATTATAACAAATGGTGCTAGAAATAGAGTGCAAAATATGGAAAGGGAGAGAAGAAAAACACACCCGATTTTATCTAGATATGTGTTACCAAATGGTTTTACAGTAACTCTCCTAGCGAGGTCTCCAGAGCAAATTGTTCATCATGCCTACCATTGCTCCCAGCTTATTTTTAGATGTCGATCAATAAAAAAGGAAAAAGTCTGGGGCACCTGGGTGGCTCAGTCGCTTAAGCATCCAACTCTTGGTTTTGGCTCGTGTCATGATCTCCCGGTTCGGGAGTTCGAGCTTCGTGTCGGGCTCCGCGCTGACAGTGTGGAGCCTGCTTGGGATTCTCTTTCCCCCTCTCTCTTTTCCCCTCCCCTGCTCATGTTCTCTCTTTCTCTCTCTGTGTCTCAGAATAAGTAAATAAATTACAAAAAAAATCTTAGGTGAAGTATAAAAAGAGGGGACTAAAATGCAAAGTGTTTTTGTTTGCATCTAGAAATTGCTGAGGACTCTAATCCAAGTTACTTATCACCTAACCACTCTGTTTCTTTAGAATTGAATGTGGCTGCAGGGGATGGTAAGGGGCGTGCAGACAATAAAAATGTATTGAAGGTAAATTGACAAAAATAGACAACTATGTATCCTGGTTTAATCGGCACCCGTGCTGGGTGCGTGTTCTATGAAATCAGTGAATTCCCACGTATCACCCCCTATGGAGGGTAGGGAGGAAAAAGAAACACAGCATCAGGCCTAAGAGCTTCTCATATACACATTTGTAACAGACGAATGTATGCATATATATTACATGGATGGATACCTATTTTGAAACAAGCTGGAGTCCACATGAGCAACAGCACACCGAAAACACAGTAGTTGTAATTATATTAAAGCTAACGTGTTTTAAAAAACTGACGTATTGGGGCACCTGGGTGGCTCAGGAGGTTGAGCGTTGACTCTTGATTTCAGCTCAGGTCACGATCCTCAGGGTCATGGGATCGAGCCCTGCATCGGGCTCTGCACTGAGTGTGGAATCTGCTTAGGATTCTCTCTCTCTCTTTCCCTCTGCCCCCGCCCCCCTCAAAAATAAATACAATGAAAAAAAAAAAACCCACTGACGTATGATTGACAGGCATGGTAACTCCTCGGCGGGTGGTAACTTCATTCAGTCCCTTCCTGCCTGTCTTCAGGTCTCAAACAGAACGTCCCTTTCTCATGGGGCTTTCCGCCAACTTAAAATAAAGTTAAGTCCCTCCTGTTACTCCGTTACTGTCTTTCATATGGTTTTTCCTTTTTTGTGTGTCAATGTTTCTTGCGTCTCTTCACTTTCTTCCTACTTCCCCCAGAATCTGGAAGCTCCATTAGGGCAGGAACCTTGACAGCTTTACCTACCGTTGTGACTTATCGTACTGCCTGGAGTCTAATAACGGCCCAAAAATCATCGATAGAAAGAAAAAAAAAAGAATTGTCATGCACACGATAATCAACGTCAGTATTACAGTGCCAAATCAGGTTCCAAATGTATCTTTTTCCTTTTTGTGATTGAAGAGTATCCAGAGTGGCGTTAGTGTTCCTAATATTCCTAGATGGTCTTACAGGTAAACCTATGTCACCAAAGGCAGGTTCCTGGATTTGAATCCTGCCTCTGCCACCGACCAGCTGGTTACCTAAGAGCAAGTTACTTGATCTCTCTTTTATTTTTTTTTTTTTCATTTTTTAAATGTTTATTTATTCTTGTGTGGGTGGGTGGGAGACGGGCAGAGAGAGAGGCAGACACAGACTCCGAAGCAGGCTCCAGGCTCTGAGCCGTCAGCACGAAGCCCGACCAGGGGCTCGAACTCACGAGCGTGAGACCACGACCCGAGCCGAAGTCGGACGCTCAACCGACTGAGCCACCCAGGCGCCCCTTGATCTCTCTCATGTCATTTTGTAAACATAGGACACGAATAGCACCTGCCTCATGGTTCATAAGGGGAGTAAATGAGAGTTAATACGTGTAAGGTTCTTACATGAGTGACAGAAATATGTAGTAAATAAATCCAGGCCATACGGCAGGATACAGTGTTGGTAAGCAAGCGGGCAGATTTATAATTTATAGTTTACAATTTTATAGTTTACAAATTTATAATTTACAATCTATTTTGGATAAACTTCTAAAAAATGTATGGATAATGTGAAGGACGCATGTATTTATCCATCCAACCAAACTTTCCCCTGGCTAGATGGGCTTGCCAGCTTCAAAAGTTTCCTGAAGTCTGAATTCAGTGAGGAAAACCTCGAGTTCTGGCTGGCCTGTGAGGACTACAAGAAGATCAAGTCCCCTGCCAAGATGGCTGAGAAGGCGAAGAAAATTTATGAAGAATTCATCCAAACGGAGGCTCCTAAAGAGGTAGGTCTTGATGGGTGAGTGAGGGTGGTCACCGTGGGCTGAGCTGCACGTCAGGGAGGATGGGAACCCCGCCCCGGGCTCATGGGCGGTGGTCAGCAAACATTTGTGAGGCGAATGGATGCGGACATTCCAATCCCAGGCCTTCCTCCACGTGTGACTTCGGACGGGTTCTCCTATCCTCGGTACCCTTCGCTGTAAACATCTCACGTACGTGTATGTGTGTGTGTACCTAGAGCATGCTTCAATGTTTATTTATTTGGGGGGGGGCGGGGGAGGGGCAGAGAGAAAGGGAGACAGAGAGAATCCCAAGCAGGCTCCGTGCTGTCAGCGCAGAGCCCGACTCGGGGCTCCATCCCACAAACTGTGAGATCAGGACGTGAGCCAAAACCAAGAGTCGGACGCTTAGCCGACTGAGCCACCCAGGCGCCCCTGGCACTAAGATTTTAAAAAGAGAAATGGCCACGCGTAGTTGAATGCGTGGATGATGTGGACATTGCCGATTGTCAGGCGATCATACCTGGTTACCGTAATCGTATTTTCCTGGCTCAGCAAACATGTGAATCTGTATCAGAACGATTCATTAGAGGGGGCCTGCGCACATAAAAGTAATAAAACCAGTAGAGGCTGCACGTCGCTGGATACAATGTGTTAGAGAGAAGTAAAGGCATCCCTTCTTTTAAACATTAAGACTAGGAGAGCGTTTTATACTTTTTTGAAATTCAACCATTCTGTGTAGGGTTGCCTACCTAGCTCAGTATATATTCACGGTGAGAGAGGAAGAAGCATTGCTTTAGTGTGGCAAGAGGAATAAAACGAGGGGCGCCTGGGTGTCCCAGTTAGTTAAGCCTCTGACTTCGGCTCAGGTCGTGATCTCGCAGTTTGGGAGTTTGAGCCCTGGTGTTAGGCTCTGTGCTGACAGCTCAGAGCCTGGAGCCTGCTGTGGGTTCTGTGTCTCCCTCTCTCTTTGCCACTCCCCTGCTCATTCTCTCTCTCTCTGAATACAAATAAACACTAAAAAAAAAAACAAAAACATCGGACTCTCAATTTTGACTCCGGTCATGATCTCACAGTTTGTGGGTTCGAGCTCCGCATCGGGCTCCATGCTCACAGTGTAGAGCCTGCTTGGGATTCTCTCTCTCTCTCTCTCTCTCTGCCCCTCTCCTGATCGCACTCCCTCTCTCAAAATAAGTAAACATTTTTTTAATTAAAAAAAAGAAGAAGAAAAGCCTGGGAACAGAGAGGTATACATTACAGCGTCGCCTCCATCCTGTCCCTCCTGAGCGTTAGCGGGCATGTAACTTGACCTCACCGGGCTGAGGTCCCCACATGCAGAGTCAGGCCCTGGACCTCAGCTCTGAGGCTGTGCTGCATCGTTTCCTCCTGCAGAAAGCACTCCGGCCCCTCTCACCATGGAAAATCTTATCACAGTCTCAACTCCTTTTATCTTGGAGCTTGGGGCCCAGCTCACGCCCGCTGTCCGGCCCATCCTGGCCTGGCACTCTCTGCCAGGCCTTTGTCCCTGACTCTGCCTGCAGCCACACCCACATCCTCTGAGCGCAGAGAGCTTTTCCGGTGTCGAGGACCTCTAGCAGCCCAGGAGCGATCTAGGACGTTTTGCGACGCTCCAATTCAGAACCACTGGCCAATTTGGATTCTGTTTCTTTCTCTTACAGCCAGGTAGCTTAAGGGTCCTTAAAGCCCACGAGATGATGAGCAGCGAATCCTCCCAAGTCACACTCAGGCAGGCCCGTGCAGGGCTGTGCCCTGCACAGTCCGGGGGACCATCCACCTGGCCCCTAATACGAACGGTGTCCCCCCGGGGACTTGGGCGATGTGTCGCTAACTGCACGCAGGACATCAAGCCGCGACGCCTTCCAAGGCTGCAGTCTATTAGTGAAGGGTGACACTGCCTGGCTTTTTAATCTTGTCTCTCCCACTCGTGACCTGGAGCGAATGCCTCGCATTCTGCCCCTCGGTCGTAAGATGGACATGTGGGCGTCCCGCTCAGAGCGGCGAGGTTCAACGGGAGCCTCGACCCAGAGCCCGTAAGACTAACGTTCCCGGCCAAGAGCCTGTGTAGACGAAGCGCCCGATGAACACTAGCCGCTATTCTTACCATTTGTCTGTCAAAAACACTGTTGCCTGGTTTGTTCCGGGAAAGACCCCATTTCCTCGCTCTTCCAGATCCGTAAAAAAAGCTTCTGGATCGGGTCAGAATTCCCTTCTCCTCTTCCCTGTCTCCATCAGGCGTGAAAGCACATGTGGCCGAAGGAAGGTTGAGGGATGAGGTGTCAGGACACGCGGATTCAAACTCTGAGTCTCTGACTCATATGCACGCCTTAGCTCGGTGCCCTGGAGAAAGCCACTTAAGCTTTGCCTACACATGTTCTTGGGGTTCTTGTGAGGATCAAAAGCCTTAAGCACAGTAGCTGCCGGTGGAATTCCGACACGTGCGTTATTTGGATCTTAATCCGACTCGTGCATTTTTTAGAGTATCTCTTGCTTCACCCCACTGCTTATAAAACAGAAATGACATTTCTTCTCACTTCTTAGGAGCCCCTTCCCCTCATGAGTTTATTGGTGACCAATTCCTGTCCCTCCCCACCCCCCCCAACCCCCCATCAAATCCTGCCACCTGGGCTGACTCGTGACCCTGTTTCCCGGCCCGCAGGTGAATATCGATCACTTCACGAAGGACATCACAACGAAGAACCTGGTGGAACCGTCCCCGAGCAGCTTCGATGTGGCCCAGAAAAGAATCTATGCCCTGATGGAAAAGGATTCACTGCCTCGCTTTGTGCGCTCGGAGTTTTATCAGGAATTAATCAAGTAGTAATTTAGCCGGGCTGTGTGGATCATCCAGTGAGTTATTTCCTCTGTAATAACCCTGCATTTTCCAGCAATCTAATCTACATTAGCTTCCCATGGCTGCTTCATTCGAAGATACCCAAACAGGGGAAAATCCCGGGTGGCATTGTTGACTCTTTTTGTGCACATTATTTTGGATGTTTATCTAGTGACTGAATGCCTTCCTCTCCTGTTTTCTTCTTCCTGCCCCATTCTTAAGGATGTTGTTGTCAACGCTAATCACAGTCATAGGAAAATTCTGCTTATGGCAAGGAAACATAAGAAAAGAATATGATACCGTAGATATGGTTTAGGTAATGGATCTCTATCCACCCAGATTGGTACGAAAAAGAATGTGGATGTGGAAAGACCGATTTCAAATGAGATCCATTGATCTCATTTGTTGTTTTCATTCTGACCCAGGGGGAATTATCCCCCCATTTCTGACCTTGGTTACTAAAAGGTGGTAAGAATTTTATGAGGCAGCCATTATTTGATTTCTAAGCAAAGACATTACTTAAAATATCAATCTTCCCTTTAGAGCCTCTTTGCATTGGCTGGAGATCACTAGCCAGAGATATAACCATAAATATGTTATGTTTGTACAAAGTCAAGCTGAACACAATCCATATTGGTTCTTTCCTTGTACCTCTCTCATACCCCCCACCAAGTTACCAAATCTTGTATTAAATCAACAACCTGACAATGGAGTGTTTAATAAATGTGTATATATATATATATGCATCTAAGTACGTAGGCCCAAAGTTTCCATTTTCAAATTATTTTAAGTCCCTGTGAGTATAAAATTCCAAACTTTGCAACTCCACTCACGTAAAATACAACAGATGCCGTCCAGCGCGATTTCTCTTACCGCCACATCAGGAGAGCTATCCACTAAAATGGGAAAACTTTGTCAGGCCTACAAATGGCTAATTACCCTATGATGCCATCTGTTTATTTAGGGAATGGCGATTATCTTCAAAAGATCAAATTATCTTTAGAAAAATTAATTCGACTGTGGACGCCTTCTGAGATAGCATTCCGAAGGACCCCACATTTTGCGAAATAATGTGATTTTTTACCAACTCCATCTCTCCCTGCCCTGTTTTGCTGCCCATGTTAGTGGGTTGTACTCGTCTTCAAAGTGCACATTTATATCGTAACGTGACTTGCACACAGCTGATCGATAGGCCGTGGTATTTTTTTAGTAGTTTTAAACTTTTAATTCCGTCTTTCGTTATTATAAGTCTCACTAGATTTTTTTCTTCTCTCTAGTAGATTTAAGTAATGATTTACATAATTTAGTAATAAGGAGAATCAAGCTAAACTATATTTGAAGCTAACCAGGAAGAGGATATTGAGTTAATTTGAAAAGAACTTGTTAAGGATTAATAAAATTCTGAAGTGTTTAAGGAGAAGATTACATTTAGTCTTGTATTTACTCCTTTTATTTCCCTTTCTCTTCCACACACTCCTAGTTTTCCATGTTTGTAGCCTGTTTATTCAATTACTTCCTGAGAATATCATTACCATATCCTTCAGGCAAACACTGGCTGTTTTTGTTGGCTTTTCTCTAATTTTGCTATTTCAAAGGATACCATGCACTTCTGAATACTTGCTATTTATCTCACATTCTGAAAGTGGGCTGGACTAAGTGGGTCCACTGTCAACAGTTGCCAGTGTGGTAAGAGTCCACTTATAGGTGTAGACATTGCTCACTGCAGAGAAGCTTGTCATAAGCAGTCGACAGCTCTCACCGTGAGCATGGAGACATCCTCGCCATGTGCGTTTGTGTAGAAGTGACAGGCGACTCAGATCAAAAATTCCTGGTACTGCCTTCCTCAGCATCCGTCTACACTGTCCAGATTAGCATAAAATCTCCAGCCCTTGAGTTTCTCATGCAGCTAGAAAGGGTAAGAACGCAAGGATCTAGGGGAGTTACTGTCCTTGAATGCCAAAACATTTTTCAGAAAAATGTTCGTTGAATTAAAAATTCAAAATTTTTGATTCGCATTATTTGAAAGAGCCAAATGGTTGCAAACGCTCAGAGAATCTACTAGATGTTACAGAGCTCACCCAGATGGTTGATGTTGCACAGACCCAGATCAACTGGATTCACAAACTGCACGCCCTCTGGCGGTGGGGAGGACTTGTCTGTGGACGGTAAAAGGGAGGCCTTCACCTTTCCATAGGCTGAACTCAGGAGGCAGAGGGCAGAAAAAGCACCATGAGGGCAGGGCTGTGAAGGAAAATAAAAATGAATGCTTCCCAGCCAAACAACGACCTGTAATAGAGACATCTGTATATACTCTTTTAAATTTAAAGTAGTATACACACACAATAGAAACTATTCTAACATATGAAATGAAAAAATTGAAGGGAAAGCAAGTATCACAGCCCCAAATGAGAAAAGCAAACATATCAAAATTGCCCTAAAAAAGTTCTTTGAAATCTTTGAAAAGGGTTTTTAAACTTAGACAAAAGAAAATTAAAAAAAAAAAAAAAAAACCCACAGTGTTACTGGAAGTTTCCATGGTAACACAAAGAAAATAACATTCGTTTAATTCTGGGAACTTAGAAAAACTGGGATGATCCTTCCAGGAAAATAAAAACCTGTGTAATGTCTGTGTCTCACTGCCTCCCCCTCCTCCCCCCTCCTCCCCACTTTTTCTTGAGTAAATTGCTGGGAAAGCGTGAAACTTAATGCAGGAGTCCTGTGGTGCTTCGGTTCTCCGTCCCTTGTGAAAATGTAGCTACAGTTGTAAGTGATCTGGGATGTACAGAGGTAGCGGAACCAAATTGTGGTCAATGCGAAGAGGCAGCTACGCCTCTCCTTCTTGAAGGAAACCTAAGATGAGGCCAGGGAATAGCCCGCAACCTAACTTTCTCTGCCTGGGTTTGATACAGTTTGGGCTTGGTGTCAGATTACGGTCCCAAGTGGACCAGAATAAAGACATAGACTGTTGATTCTAGAGGAAATTAGGAGGCTGTGTTTATCTACCAAAGCAGTACTTGTTCACACAAGCGACCCCCTGCACACACACACACACACACACACACCCTTGCCTTCTCCTGGCTAGACCTTCTGAAATGCAGAACTGAGACATTTCAATCACTGTGCTTTCACATCAATAGCATCAATTGTATGGAAATGTTCTGTGCCTCACCCCCCACACCCAGGGAGGGTGGGGGAGGGACTCCAGTGCTCTAGCAAATGAGCTCTCTGCTCTCCTCTCCGTAGATTTCAGTTTTTCGTGCCTCATGAGAAAAAATTGGTGAAAGGAACTGTTTTTATTTTTATCCTCTACAAATATGTAGCTTTGCTTGGCTGCTGTGTGCTCTCTCTCTACTCGCTTTGGGTAGGATGGTGTTACCAACTGCCTCCCAAAGAATAACAAGTGTTTGGAATGTTTGGAAGTTTCCATAAAACCTTGAGCATCAGCAGATCAACCGATCCACCAGCAATAATTCTCTGCCAGGGCTTTGTCATCTGTCCCATCACAGATTAGATAATAAAAAGTGTTTAAAGGGAAATTCTCTATTTCAGGGAAAAGGTTTTTTTTATCCCTGAAATCATTCCCTCCAGCAATCCAAACATTTCCTGTTTCAGGGAATTTAGCAAGTCTGGGAGATAAAGGCCCAGGAGAAGAAAAGGGAGAGAGGGCAGAGGGCTTTGGTGAAGCAATAAGTGCCCAGGCCTATAAAGTTAATCCATTTCCTAGGAAACATTTAAGAATAGCTCCTCCTGACCAAAACCAAACCATTTCTTTCTGTCATCAACACGATTTGCGGAAAGGCATTTCTTGACTCACAGTGCAGCTCAATGAGAAACTTCCTCTTAAAATCCTAGGGAGTCTCACAGAGCGCCTGGGTGGCTCAGTCCGTTGAGTTTCCGACTCGGACTCAGGTCATGATCTCATGGTTTGTGGGTTTGAGCCCCGCATGGGATTCTGCGTCTCCCTCTCTCTCTCTGCCCCTCCCCCGCTCATACTCGCGTGCTCTCTCTCTCTTTCTCAAAAATAAATAAATATTAAAAGAAATTTTAAAACAATAAAATCAAATCCGAGGCAGTCTTGATTAGAGGGAAGAATCAATATGGTGGATCTGCTGTCCCCACTTGGCTCACCTGCGCCAGGGAGCAGAGAGTGGAGAACTGGGTTTCTAACATCCAAACGTCTAAACCCAAGAGCCAGGCAACTCTATGTAGGTTCCAGACGTGAGGTCTTCACTACAGCCCGACTGGATCGTCATTACACTTCTCTGGTTGTCTGGTCTCCTCATTCTATGAGACAAGTATGTACCTAATGGTTTTCTTGGAGGAGGCCGAACTGCTGCTTGTGTCAAACATACTTTCATGCAAATGGGGCGTCTGGTAGACCAGAGTAATTGATACCCAAAGAAAGGCTTTCCCCAGCCTCAATGAGCCATCCTGGAACTGAAAAGATTCTTCCAACTGAGGGGACATTTGCAGCTTTGAATGGAGACTCAGAGCAGAGAGTGAAGGGGGGAAAAAAATCTTTGGAATATTATCCTCACCTCACAGCTGAATAACAATAATAATCTTCTTATCTGATTTTTCTAGTAGAGAAGATACGCATTAAACTTTTTCATATCCGGTTTAAGAAGCCTCTTGCAAGGTACTAGTTGTCTCCTGAGGTATTTTCCCTCCCCACCTCACACCTATACCTTCCCTTCTTCTCTAC